AGTGTAGTGACAGCTATTATGTGGATAGAAACTATATATACTAGAATTGTGGTAGGTGGCTAGCAATATAAGTAGGCTAGCGCAACACTTGCTTCGCCTCATAATTGTCTAACCGGTTTGTTAAGTGTTGTTGTAGAAATTTTTATTAGGCTATTCACCTCCCATCTAACCATTAGGACATTTCACCCCTTCATCTATAAAAGGGAATGCGCTCTCTCCCAACATTCAGGTTCATTAAGTCATTCCAGATTCATTAGATCAATCAAGTTCACTGGCATATAAAAGCAGAACCATCAGGTTCAAACCACGAGCACACGCTCGAATACTTAGCTCATAGCGGAGCTCCCGTCGCTCTCGGCCCTTCCGACCGGAGTCCGACCGGACCTCTTGTACCCCCATCTTTCTCCTTCTCATTTGTAACCCCACTGTAAACTTCGAGCACCTGGGCTCAGGAATAAAGTCACCGACCGACTCAAACTGGATGTAGGGCATGTTGCCTGAACTAGTATAAACCCTGTGTCATTGAGTGTTAGGCCACCTCTAATCACAGCGTACGACAAAACTATAAATATTTACTTGTTGGTCACTTTCTACACCGACAATTATTTTTCTATCTCCAATCGCTGGTGGTGTTGAAGCTGACCAGGTGCAACATCACATCGTTCCACATAGAATGTAAACAAAGTTGAGTTTGAAAACAAAAGTTTAAAGACCAAAAATATAAAGTTTGAGGACTGGAATGATCATCTTCATAGTTCTAGGATGAAATTGAGCTTAAAATGCAAAGTTTGAGAATTGAAATGATCATTTTCATAGTTTTAGGATGAAACTGAGCCTAACAATAGAGTTTGGGACTAAAATGACCGTTTTGAAAGTTCAAGAATAAAACTGAGCCTCGAGTAATAGTTTAAAGATTAAAATGACTATTCTACCTACAAATTATGTCAAAAGAGAAATGGACCACGGTGTACTTCATCCGTCACCAGAAGTGGTAAACTAACACTAGGCTTTGAAAAGCTATGCTGAAAAAAAAGTACGCATCATAAAACAAGGGCCGACTCCAATCACCGGCGATCACATGCGGCATGCCCATAACCCATCGCATCATTGTCAGGTATATACAGAGGAAAGACAAGAAAATCAGGTCGTCCTTCGTGGCACACGAGCTGTCCAAATGCTCCACTGCGTGTCTGATTGGCTCCATCCGACTGCTACGGGATCAAAGAAGAGGAACCCAAGATGCACGAGGAGGCCTGTTGGCTGCCGGCACCGTTGGTTGGTTGGCAAGACGAATTACAGTACCACCGTCCCTGCATTCTCTGCTAGCTAGTCACCGATCGCTCCAGTCCTTCACAGTAAATCCATTGCATGTGTGCAGCAAAAAGCTTGTTCGATGCCATTACCATTTTATTTTACCATATCCTTGCTACTAGATTTCACCATTCGCGTAAATCTGTGTCCGAACCTGTGGGTGAATATATGCACGTGCAAAATTAATATTTTCAGACAGCGCGGAGCTTAGTCTTCGACTCTTCGTACGGTCTCATGGTGGGACAGCACTTTAGGACTTTGACGATTTTTTAGTTTGCGCCACCTAGGCCCCGCTTGGAATGAAGCAAGTCCCTTCTTGCCGATACCTGCGCCAAATAGGGATGACATGCTTGCAAATGAAATGGTGCAACCATGGATCAAGAAAATGTCACTTTGACAGCCTTTTTATTTATCCTACCGCGAGTGGCAAGGAAGAATTGGCGTTAGAGGTAGTGCGAGCCATGCCCGTATTTTCCACCTAGATAGACGGCATGTCGGAGACGGCGGCACGGGGAGAGCACGCGTCCTCTGCCAGGTTGAGGCGGAGGTCAGGAGTGCCGGGCACGCCCTGCGCCGCGTCGTGCAGGGCGGGCTGAGCCGGGCGTACCGACCAGAAGGTCTACGAGGCCGGCGGCGGCGGAGGATTAGACGAAGGAAATGTAAATAAAGGTAAAAAAATGGCCATTTGCAATTAATCCTTCAAAAAACAATCTTTTAGAAATGGTCATTTCAGAAGAAGAAAAAACATTGTACCATGTCTGATAAGCCAGGCTAATAAGTTAAAACAAACATAAGTCAGGCTGATAAGTTCAAACGAACATGACCTAAAATAACAATATAAATGTTATAATTCTTTTTTTTCCAGTGGTCCATACGAAATTGAGATCTTATAATAATGGTCTATGTGTACTGGCGCTTTATCTCCACCTGTATCTCCCTTGATCCATCACCATCTCTAATGAATGCACGTATACACACAGTTAACCTTGTGAATACCTAAATAAAAAAACCATTTAGGACGGCATATCATGATATTAGTTATTAATTTTATTTGTGCTATAGAAAATAAAAGGAATCTCAAATTCATATGACCATATTATTTCCGTTCCCGCTCAGCGGCGTTCATTGCACATTGACAAAACGAATAGTACGAGGGTGATGCTTCAATCATCTCTGAATTGAATTCTCCCCCAAATGATAGGGTCCTGCGAACGCAGACAAGGAACATGACCACACCGGCCCACTTGCGAGTTGCGCACCAAATCAAAGAATCACGCATATCATCTAATACTATTGTTAAATGAATAAGTTAGTACTTTCCCTTGGGTTGAATCGACAGCATGATAGTTCAGGAATTCACCTAAAAACGACTCTTCTGTAACATCGGCTGAATAGAGACTTTGACGATATTGTTTAGTTCATCTACATCCCACTTGGCTATTTCGAAACTTGCCCATGTGTGACTTTTGATATCTGGTATATGGCCATCGTAAGAGCAACTTCAAGAGACTTTGTATATCTTTCCTATTAGGAATAGAGACTTTGATAAAAAAACACCATGCAACAGCTTCTTTAATTGGTTATATATTTAAATATAGTCATTCTCTATTCCGGATTTCTCGCTAGAAAAAAAAAAAGGACGAGAATGGGTGAAAAGATATATAGAAAGTGAATTCTACACAAGTGGGATCAGAGAGAGTTTAAAAAAAAAGACTTTTAGAGATGCTCTAACTGCCTCCGATTTTACCCGGCACTCATCCACTTGCCATAGTGAGGCGAAAAAATCCTTTTAGCTCCTCAACTTTTACAATAGTCGGACTTAATCTTTCATTTAAAAAATAGATTTTTATTTTTTCTTAACTTTTAAAAGTATTTGTTTTTGCACCTTCCGACTTCCATCCTTCATTTATAAAACCAGATTTTTAATCTCTCCTAACTTTTAAAACTATTTGTTTTTACACCCTGGGTGATTTTAAAACTGTAGTTATGTCCGAGTAGGGTGGTAAAAATACAAAGTTAAATTTATAAAACACAGAAGTGTGGCGTGAACACAAATTTGTAAAAATTAAAGTTAAATTTTGATATAACTTTGTATTTTTTTTAGACATAGGGTGACATAAACACGGATGTGGCGAGGACTAGGTAGATTGGTAAACATCGCTCTACTCTTCAAGACATCAGTACGCGAAGACGACGCCATTGCAGTGCTAATTAAAAGGCACAGCGAGGTTCGATGAATCCCATAAAGGCACAGCGAGGTTAATGAAACGAAGCCCACGGCGTCAGCATCGCCGTCCCCACCCGCAGGTTGGCACGCAGCCGAGAAGCGATCCCCATCAGCCGCTCTCTCTCTCTCTCTCGCTCGCTCTTTCCCTCTCACACACACACACCTCCTATCCTGCCTGCGCAAGGGAGTGCCTGGCGCTGGCTGAAAATGTGTTGTGGACGTGTGCTTGCGTGCGTGCCGCGCACACTCCCCCGCAGCCCAGCGGCGCCAAATGCTCTGCACCGAATCCCAATTATCGTCCTCCCTGCGCCCCCAACTTCAACTTGGCAACTTGTGCCTCCTCTCAGCTAAATATTTTACTGATTTCTTTACGAGCGATTTTGGAAGCCTCCAGCCGCCGCTTTAGGCCATGTTTAGTTCCCCATTTTCTAGAATTTGGCACTATGTCAAAAGAAGATTTCCGTCACATCAAATTTGCGGTACATGTATGGAGTACTAAATGTTGACGAAATCAAAAACTAATTGCACAGTTTGGTTGTACTTTACGAGACGAATGTTTTGAGCCTAATTAGTCAACTATTGGACAATTATTATCAAATAAAAACAAAACGCTACAGTGCATGAACAGTGTCGCCGAATCCGGCGGCGCCGAATCGGCCTCCAACTAAACACGGCCTTATTAGCAGCGTGTCATCAACTAGAGCCCTCCCTTTTTATCATCATCAATCATCGGTCATCACCTACCCCCTCCTCGCGTGTCTCTGTTTCTCCTGCCTGGGACTGGGGCTGTCCAGTTGCCACCAACCGAGGTTAAGCCGAGAGAGAAAACAAAGAAGGTGATCCCCTTGGCAATGCCAGATTTCCTCGAGGTGGAGAGGCCTCCTTTTGTTACCGCCAGGTTCTGCCAAAATCAGCGATTCCTCCAATCGAGCATGCATTCTTTTCTGCTGCTGCGACCGTAGGATCGGCGTAATAAACCCCCCAAACCTTGGTTCAGCAGCCTCGCCGCGTCGGTATGGTTTTTCCTTGCCCCCATCCTAGCTCTTCTGCTCTCTTGAATTTCGTGGTCGAGGATAGGGTGTTTCTCGTGCGTTGATCCAATTTCGAGCCAACAATAGTCCTGTTCCTGCCTCGGTTTAGTCCCCTTTCTCGTGGTCCCCATCTGTTCTTGGCGTTCACACACTTGCCGTGCGGCAGATTGCAGCAGCAGCAGCCGGCGGCGCGTGCATTTTGCAACCCCCCTTTCCAAGGTCCAGCTGCAAGCTTTGGCCTTTTCTGCCTCCCGTCCCTGGAAATCCCGCAAGAAATCCTCCACCCAAGAAAAAGCTGGCTCCTGCCATCTCCTCACGAGTCACGAGTTTGGTGAGGCTTTGAAGCGAGCACAGTTCTTGTGTACATCGCAGGGGGGTTGAAATCCGTGATCTCTGCCAGTCAGGCTGGGGTGGGTGTTTCCTCGTCGGAGATGGAGGGGAATTTGCCGCCGCAAACCCTGATCCCAGGCGGAGGCGGAGGCGGAGGCGGGGCCCCCTTCGATCTGGCGCAGCCGTTCCACTTCGCCGCCCAACCCCAGGCGGTCCAGGTTCACCAGGGCTTCTTCGCCGTCCCCGCCGCGAACCAGGTGCCGGAGCTCAGCAATGCGGTGAAGGCCTCGCTGAGCGACGAGGAGGACGCCGATGACGGCCACCTCGACCACGGCAAGGCGGCGGCCGCCTCCCCGTGGCACCGGGTCAAGTGGACCAGCGGCATGGTCAAGCTGCTCGTGACGGCCGTGTCCTACATCGACGAGGACGTGGACGCGGACTACGGGACCAGCAGCGGGAGGAGGAAGCACGCCCTGCTCAAGAGGAAGGGCAAGTGGAGGCTAGTCTCCTCGGCCATGACCGAGAGGGGGTTCGCGGTGTCGCCGCAGCAGTGCGAGGACAAGTTCAACGACCTCAACAAGAGGTACAAGAGGCTGACCGAGATCCTCGGCCGGGGAAGGGCTTGCCAGATCGTCGAGAAGCACGAGCTCCTTGACAAGGTGAGCCTATCTGGGAAGCTTAGGGAGGAGGCCAAGAAGCATCTCAACTCCAAGCATCTGTACTACGAGGAGATGTGCTCCTACCACAACAGGAACCGCTACTGCCTGCTTAATGATCCTGCCCTTCAGAGGTTCCTGCGAATGGCGCTTAGGGCTCCAGATGAACAGGGAAAGAAGTGCTCGTTTGGCTATGATGATGAGGACGATCAGATGTTGCTTTCTGATAATGATGATGATGATTATGAGGACGATGAGTTGAATGGCGACCTGGAGGTCAGTGCTGAGGATCATGGTGTTCACAGAGTTCATGCCACCAAGAAATTGAAGCATTATCATGAGGAGGGACATTGTGGGTCTCATCTGTCTGAAGTTGTGGCCATTGACATGAACAAAATGTTCTCTGAAGGATCTGGTGGTCCATCTGCTGAGAAGAATTTAAGTGCTATGCGTGCTCAAATTGAGAGACAACATCTGGATATAAAATCAGAGATGCTGAGAATTGAGCAGAGGCATTTCAAATGGCTGAAGTTCAGCAAGGAGAAGGACAGGGAGTTGGAGAAAATGAAGCTGGAGAATGAAAAGATGAAGCTGGAAAATGAGCGATTGGAGCTGGAGCTGAGGCTTAAGGAAATTGAGATGGGCATCAAACCAACGAGGATTTAGTGATTGCAGGATGTAAGTGGTAGAGCTAGAGAACTCTTAGAGTTTCTGGTAATCCTTTTGTCTATTGCAGTAGCTTACAAATTAGGATATATCACATTACATAGTTTCATATTTGCTAACTGCATATCGGTTAAGTTAATGACTCTTCTGGTGTTAAGCGTTTACAATAAGTACAGTTTGACATCTGAATATGGTGCTTATCATTGCATATGTTATCCATCTCACTGCGATTGGCTGTGTGTTATGCTTTGATTGAGCGCCGTGTATTTCCTGTTCTGTTTGCTCTGTTCCATTCTTATATGATATCTTTCCATTATTTGAGATACAGCTACTGCAGGATAAAATGTTGTGTTGTCTCAGTGTACTTTGTGAATACCATTATTACATGAATATCACCAAAGAGTTTGTTGTCTTCATCCATGCTTTCCAGGTTGATTTGATCTAAGGTAATGTGAAGTTTCAGAAATGCTGCGTTTTTCCACTGAGGTTTATGATAAGCATCAGCTGGACTTGTGTATTGTATGTTGTACCGACCCCATCTTTCTTCACTAACATATAGGAGTAATACTAGTGCAGTACCAGGTATACATCTCTTCAAGCTACCATTTAAAAGCAAGCTGTATTTGTTTTGACCATTGGTGTTGGTGGGGTAGAAGCCTGCATCTTTTGTCGAACATTCCAATTATTTTATTGTGTTCTTTCCTCTGTTTATATTTGTGATGCTGGTAGTGTCCACTTTGTATGTCATAAGCTGACGGTCGTTACTGGTGTGGTAGACAGTGTCAGGTTTTGTGAAAAAGGGTCGAAGAGCTTGTATTTGCTTCCTTTGACAGGTCCACCTGCTGCTTTCTGGCCTTCCGGGGCAAGATCGGAATATGGTACTTAATGTTATAATTATTTTCTTACTCATCTTGTTTCGAAAATTCTCGTACTCATCTCGATTGGTTGCGCATTTGTGTGTCACTGTTGGCTGAGTTCATTTCCTCTTTCTTTTGCTACTGCTATTGTTCTAATGATATTTTTGCAATTATTTGAAGGTCTTTTCTGGCTCAAACTGCTAGTAGCCAAATCATTTATGTAAAAAAGTCACTATTACATCAATATCACCAAAGAGTTAGTTATCTTCACCATGTTTTCCTCGTTGGATTTGTTATAAGCTACTGTGCAGTTTCAGAAACCAGTTTTCACCGATGTTTAGATCTCATCAGCTGGACTCATGTCCTAGGAACATGTTATATTAAAAGTTTTTTCTGGACTAACGAAAGTGGCAGCAGCATCAGCTGTTCATTTTTATCAGGTAGGTGTCTTTAAAAGCAGGTTCTGCATTTGGGTTGGCAATTGGTGGGCTACAGCTCGAGCTATTGTATTCTAAACATTGTGCTCTGTTCTATGCTCTGTGTGTGTGTGGTGCGGGTGCTGCCCTTTTCCGTGTAATAACCTGATACTAGTTCCTGATGTGGTCGACAAGAGTGCCTGGTTTTGTTGAAAAGCGATGAACACTCTGCACTTGCAACTTGCTGCCATTCACGTTCAACTGCTGCTTTGCCGGCAATCGAAATGTTTTGACTTGAAAAGCTTAAAGTGTTTCTGAAATGAAATCTAGTTCATTTGGAGAGAACAGCATCTGGCTCTCCCCCGCGTCGCTCCCACGCGAGTGGCTCGGGCGGCTCCTCCCCCCAAACCCTAGCAGCCCCTCCCCTCCCCCCGCCGCGCCGCCAGCATGGCCGCCCGGCCGGCAGGGATGGCAGCGGCGGGGCCTTTCTCCTCTCTCTCGGCGGCGCGTGCGGCAGCAGGCCGACGGCCCCTCCCCTCACGTGAGCTGCGTGGAGCTCAGCGGGGAGGGCCGTCGCGGCTATGGCAGCGCCGGCTAGTGCCCGAGCTGGCGCAGGGGACGGCGGCGGGCTCTCCCTCTCCTCCTCTCTTGACGGCGACGACGGCGACAACTGGGGCCGCCGGTCCGGGCCACGTGAGGTCAGATCCGGTGCCTGGGAGGCCGGATTTGGACTCCAGGTGGCCAGTTCGGCTTCGGGGCCGGCGACGGGCGGTGCATGCGGTTGTGGTCAAGATGGAGGCGGCGGCATGGGGCACCGGGTTCGGGGCCTAGTGTCCGGATCCGGCGGTCCCAGGGCAGGGGGCGGCGCCCGAGATGGTGGGGCACACACCCTGTTGCGGCTGGCGGCGAGGTCGGCTGCGACATCGCCGGGTGCCTGGGCCGACGAAGATGGTCAGTGGCGGCCTCGTCGTGCGGCACTGGGACGCGAGCGGCGGAGCCAGGTCCGACTATGCGTGGCCCGGACGGAGGGGGTGACGGGCGACGCAACTGTGCGGCTGCTGCGTGCAGACGGCGCGTCGATGCCCCTCTGAAGGGGCTTCCGTGGGGCGACGGGACAGCGACGATGGCGGTGTTGGCTGGCAGGGGGTCCGGCTTCGCGACCCGGCGTTCGTGCTAGAGGGTTCTTGGGCGAAAGCCTTGGCGACGGTGACGCCATTGGGCGCCGCTTCCCTGTTGGGGGCGTCGTGTTCCCCTCTAGCATGTCATCCAAGGGTGAAAACCCGGTCCACTTTGGCCGTGCGACGGTGGCGCCATCGGCGTCGCTCCCTTCCTGAAGGCGTCGCATCTGGATTATTGCTGCGGCCTCGATGCGAGGCATGGGTTTGCGACTAGAAGTCGGAGCTGCTCTTCGTGGGTTGAGCTTGGCAACGATGACCGGTGGCGGTCGTTCCTTTGGACCCGTCGGGAGGTGACCAGTGGGTGGCCTGCCATGGGAAGTCCAAGCTGCTGGCAGCTTTGCTTCCATGCTCGGCAACGATGATCCATGGCAGTGTGTCGTGTTTGTGCTCAGTCGCGTCGCGTGGGGTGGTTAGCCCCTCGGGTGCCATTTTGGCTACTCGGTTGGCTAACATTTTTGTACATTATTACTTCCTTTCGTCTTAATTGAGCGGCAGAGCTCCTGCCTTTTGTTTAAAAAAAAAAGTGTTTCTGAAACGCCCTGCAGTGGAGATATGGTGACGATGATATGTGTTCTTCAGTTCTCGTCGTAGCTCACAAAATGTCTTTGAAAAACAATGCTGTCAGTGTCAGATGTGTACCAAAAAAATGGCGAAGCTATGCATACCATGAAACGAACTGCTTGTTTTCTGATAGTACACGTCTGGAGCAACAATCATGGTGACAAATGATCATCGCCTATTCATCTCAGCTCAGACAGACTGGATGTTTTCTGATCCAGATACAGGAACCATGATTGCAACACGAATACTAGTAGAACGACCAAGGGAACCACTTGTGGTGATCATGCCTGGAAGGGCCCCTGACGGACCAACGCAATGAGAACTGAAGACGCCGTCTTTCCATTTGAAAATATAAAAAAATTGTATTTTGCATATGGAAATTCAGAGAGTGCATTGGCTGGTCCCAGTTGTGGAAGCAGAGAAGTCCGAGTGCTACCCTGGAGATGCTCAGCATGGCCAGCAGCTGTACAGCATGTCTGAGGTGTATCAATCTCCTACTCCACCTAGCATTTTGTTTCGGCTATGAGTATTATACATCTGCAAGTCTGCAACTGCAATATGATAGTATACCACCATGCCTTGAGCCAGAGTATGTGCCATGGAGAAGGCCGGAAGGGCAGGCTGTTTCACTGTTGTATAATGCAAAACGCGAGCTGCCCGGCCGGTCGGGTCCTGCGCCCCAGGACGAATGTCGGAGGGGCCCTGCCCTGATGAGTGATGAGAGGCCTAAAAAAGCCTTAAAGAGTCGCGCGCTTTTGCAGTTTCTCAGCGCTGCTGATGCCATTGCCGAGGCCGGCCGGCGGAAAAGATACTAGTCCTGCCCACTTTCAAGAGTCTCTCTCAGTCTCACTACATATACACATTTTGTTCTCTGTTATCTTCCTCTCTTCTCAAGTGTAGATTAATCTATCGGCTCTAGTGAGTGTTGCGTTGCTATTGCTATCCCTTCTGGCCATGGGAGCGTGCGCGACGAAGCCGGGTGACCTCAAGGTCAAGGGCGAGGCGCCGTTGGTCGAGGAGGACGCCGCGGCGCCACTGGCGGCCGCCGACGAGAAGGCGAAGGCCGACGTGCTCCCGGTGGCCGCCGCCGAGGTCGACCAGGCCGATGTCAGCCGCCGGAGGTCCCTCAGCGTCCTGCTCAGACAGGTAAGCAACTTCATTCCCTGTAGCTCTCGGGTACTCAACTCGAGTGACATGACAGTGACACCAAGCTTCAGCTGTCTTGCTGCTTCCTTTCGAATGATAAAATAGCACAAGAAATGCAAAAACTAGCTATTACGTACTGGTATGCTGCGCCGGAGTAACCAATCGCTGCGCTTGCTGCCTCTTCACACAGGACGCGGAGGCCAGTGATGGGGAGGCCGACCACCAAGAGGCAGAGAAGGTCATGGCTGATGAGGAGCCAGCGAGTGCTGCCGCTGCCGGGGAAACGATGGGATCACTGCAGGCAACAACCGAGCACGACGACACGGCCGAAGAACTGAAGGATGATGATCTTCCGAGTGGCGAGGCGCAGGCGGCGGAAGAAGAGAAGCGGGTGGATCCTGAATCAGTCCAGGTTGCTGCTGCTGCTGTTGCTGCTGCTGCTGATGCCCCAAGTTCTGAGGAAAGCAAGGTTGCTGATGACAATGATGCCTCTGCCTGAAAAATGGAATATTGTGTTGTGATTCTTTGTTCTTTCCTCTCTTTTTTTTCGCTGGCGAGGTACGCTTTAATGACGCGAGATTGATAGTGATAGCAAGGTTTGCTGCTGCTCTGGAACATTGGGAAACACTGCTGTCTTGCTCCGTTTGTGTTGTGGACCAGGGTGCGCATCGCTGGGTTTTACTGTTTATTTCAATTGATTTTCTAGGAGGTACTCCATGCTTTCAAGTTGTCTTTTCACTGTATAATGCTTCGAACGATTTACATTTGCAATTAGAGGAGAGTATACTCGTAATTGGGGGCACACCGAACAAACGCAGCCAAAGTGTCTAGGCCCCTAATTCAGGTGCTGAAGAAAGCTAGGTTGCTGAACTGATTATGTGGGCTCTGCGCTTTAATTTGCAATCAGCGTTTGGTGTTTCTGAATTCTGAAGCACTTGCCTCTCTCTGATGTGAGATCGATAGCTCGTGTTTGCATGTTGAGCTAAGGTAACTGCATCTCCAATCTTTTTTGAAAAAAAGAGAAGATTTTATTCCTTTTTTTAATCCAGAAAATTTTATTCTTGCCTCTGCATAAGCCGCGTCCCGAACCCCCCCCCCCCCCCGTATTAAAAGTTTAGCCGCTAACAGCGAGATCTCAAAGAGCAAACAAAGAAAAAAAAACGTGTATATTCATGCACCAAACTAAGCGCTAAGCCTATTAAAGAGAACCACTCAAACTTGACAAAAGATCTCCATTGATGCCATTTCTAACATATGACATGCTCACTTGAGGTTTAGCATGTCGTTCTCGAAGAATGTACCAAAAGTTACGCAGTCTTAAAAATAACTTGTAAATACGAATATATCCTCTTTTTTTGAAAACCTCACCGTGATCTAAATCACCCGCCACGATCTGACAAACGGGTCTAGCCGAAAAACTTTTTATCGTTTACATGTGTTTCTCTTGCTCATCCTTGACGTGCATTTTTTTTCCACCGAAAAACTTAGCCACCCGCATATACACCTGTTCCCCTTGTCGCCTCCTCTCTTCCTTCCGGTGACGTTTGGATAGCAAGTGGGATAGAGATATCAGATGGTATATGGAGAGAGGAATTACGGAATGGGAAATGAAGGCCCTGTTCGCTTAAACTTATCAGTCGTACCGTTTCAGTGAAATAACAGTGTTTTTCTCTCACGACAAATCAGCATCAGTATCAACATCAACCGTTTTTTCAGCTAGCCGAACAGGGCCAAAGTTTGAAGCCCAATCCGTTGTTTGGTTAAGAGTTTTCAATAGGGCCCATAACTTTTTATAGTAATTAAAAGACAAAGAAAAAAATGGAAAACGCTCCTTCATGCCGCACACAAAAATACTTACCATGGCCTTTATCTGCTCAGATGCGCAGAAAATATTTGGTGTAAACCATCCTTTTGATGCAATCATGAAAAACCTTAAAAAACCATACTTAGAGAATTCCAAAAATTATGAAATGATGCATATTCATAGCTCATCTATAAATGTACGTTGTAGCAAAAGTTGGGAGGCAAACTTATTGTGTAAAAATCCAAACAAAAATGACAAAATTCGGGTGCATGTGGGAATTTTGTCTTCTAGTGCAAATACACATAAAATTTGTCATTTCTATATGAATTTTCTAGATTAATTTTGTTTCACAACTTTTACTACAACATACATCTATGGATGAACTATGAATATGCATCGTTTCATAATTTTTGGAAGGGTTTTCAGCCAGAGGCTGGTTTGCACCAAATATTTTCGGGTTTCACCAATCCACCAGAGGAGAGGCACGCTACCAGTGCAAGGGACCTGGGCGGACGGCCAGGCGCAGCGACTCTGCGGAGCGGAGACCGCTTGGGCGCGGCGGCGGGATAAGCTCCGCGCCGCACTGCAGATGGCGTGCCTCCCGTGTCCCCAATTTCGCGCTGAGCCCTAGTGGATCTGTAGCTGTCTCGCCGGCCATTGCCATGGAGGGGATGGACCTGACGCCGCCGCTGCCGGACGACGTGCTCGCGGGCGTCCTCCGTCGCCTCGCGCCACGTGGCCTCGCCGTGTCCCGCTGCGTCTGCAAGGCGTGGCGACGCGTCGTCGACGACCGCCGCCATCTGCGCGCGGACCTCCTCCCGCGCTCGCTGGGCGGCATCTTCCTCAACTTGCATGACCTAAGGTTCACGCAGTTCCTCTCCCGCCCCACGACGGGCGCTGCGGTCTCCGGCCGGCTCGACTACACGGTGCCCGGTGAGCCCGACCGCCTGCCCCCCATCTACGTCAAGGATCACTGCAATGGCCTCCTCTTGCTCCACCACTGCGTGGTTAACCCCGCCACACGGCAGTGGGTGCCCTTGCCTCCGCGCTCGCCCCTGCCCCAACCTCCACCTCCAGGCATGTCTGTTTGCACAAAGGAGTACCTCGTGTTTGACCCCACCATGTCGCTCAACTATGAGTTGTTGATAGTGCCCGATGTTCCTTACAAGCTGAACGACGACAACGAATGTGAGGAATCTGAATGGCCGCCGGCCACATTGATACTACCTGTCTTTTCATAAAAGACTGGTTCCTGGGAGGAGAGGGCATTTGGTCGGGATGGGGAGGCTGCAGGGATGTTACCTGGCATGCATCAGTCAGCACCAAGACTTTTCTTCCAGCATCAATGTGGCTACTGGCGAGGAGCACTCTATATATGCTGCGACGACTGTTTGTTATGAGGTAGATATATGCTAACTCCTTAAACATCGTCATTCTGGTTCTGGTTTTAAGCATTATGATAAGATTATTTACCATTATATTATTACTGCAGAATATCACTGTCAAACAATATGTATCAAGCAATTAGGTTGCCCACAGAACTGACAGAAGATGAAAATTTTTATCTGGGAAAATCAATCAACGGGATATACTGTGCATCAATATTTCAGGGGTCACAACTTCAGGTTTGGTTCGTTAACGACCAATGTGTTCATGGTCAGACAGAGTGGGTGTTGAAGCATGGCAGAGACATCTTCCCCATCCTGCCAAATCTGAACTATGATGAACAGTGTGATGGAGCTTGGATCTTACAAGAATTTTACTGTTGGGGACAAGAACATTCTGATGATGAAGCTTATACTGTGGCGTACTGCAACGAAGCAATACTGGAAGAGAAATTTGTGTGGGACTCTGACAATGATAATGTTCTCGAACCAGGAAGTAGGAGCAAGGATTCTTTTCTCGATTTTCTTGGATTTCATCCGTACAAAGAGGTTGTCTTCTTGAGTGATAAATTCGACCGGGTGTTAGCCTATAATTGGAGTATCTCAAAGATTCAAGATTTGGGCAAGGTTTTCCCAAAATTCTACATAGACTGGGATCTCCATTTCCACCATAAATATGTATCAGCGTCTTTCCCATACACTCCCTGCTCGTTGGGAGAGCTCCCTGAGAAACTGAATTTAGAAGCTCAGCTGGAAGATTAGAATATGTTTCCTTGCAAGCTATTTGAAGAATGTAATACTAATACTGTCTGTTGTTCTTTTGATATTTGTGTACACACATTGTTCCCTGCAAAACTGATCTTAGATGTTTCCAGTTTAAATTATCTTATTTTCCCTGCCTCTGAGTACAACTGATCTGAGTTTAACTTTCTGCATGGATCACTGCCGAGAGAACTGGTTGCTTTTCGATTCAGCTACAATGACTCAGTTGCTCTTGAGTCATGGACTGCCAGGGCCCTTGAGACATGGATTCTATTGGTGAGAGTTGAGCCAAACATCTGAGGCCTGGGCTTGCTGGTGTTGTGCTAAATACCAGTTTTGCAAGTTAAGCTTGCGACTGAATTAAGCTAGAAATAGTAGTCAATATACCTGCCCTTAACAAAATTCTACTGTGATTGATTTTCTGCAAAGAGGGCTTGGTTCCCCTGGTTTAGCATGTATGTTAGTTTGCTGATAGGGCAAAATTCCGAAAACAAAGTTCCATTGGCGGATGGCAGGGAGTACATATAAATAGAAGGTCAGATTAACAAAATTCCAAAACACAAAAAATAACAAACAGAATCTGAACAAAAGCTCAGCCAGGAGACTGAAGTGCTGATCGTATTTACTACTGAGCACCAGCGGTTTGCTCAAGACAATTAAAAATAATAACATAGAGGAGGCAGTAAATTGAACTCTGAATGAATCAAAGTTGATCTCTACACCAAATAAATCTTGCACTGCTGAACAGAAGATTCAGACTGAAGAACGCAATCTGATCAGATTGCAAACTGAAAATAAGTTCCCTGTGAGGGCTCTAAAGCTCACACTGTCACAGACAAAAGGCTCTACAAGCTAAAGCTGGTACCGGTGCAGCAAAAGTATGGCAGTGACTCACTTTGCTAGGAATTACTCTTGTTGGCTGGTACGCTGGAGAGATCGGCTGTAGAGATCCATCGGCGGTGATCGGCGATGATGTAGAGGTCGGAGAGGTTGGCTGCGGTGCTGGAAAGGTCGGAGATGCTACGGATGGGCTGCCGACCACCGTCGATGGGCTGTACAGCACCGCCGATGGGCTGCCGAGCTCCCCCGGATTTGGTGATGGTGAACGAGGCGGAGTTGGTGAAGAGGTCGGTGATAGTGATGAAGACCCATACGTCAATGAAGATGCACCTTGTGCTTCCTCAGCACCTCCAGCCCATGCGTACTCGATGGTGAAGTCGCGAAGTGTGGTCTCCGACCCGTCATCCACCGCCTTGTCCCATGCCTAGCCGTGACCTTCATCGAACACAACGTCATGCGCCACGCGCACGCGCCGTGTCACCGAGTCAAGCACGCGGTAGGCCTTAGCCCCTTCTGCATAGCCGATGAAGACCCCGGGCGAGCTGCGATCGTCGAGCTTGTCGATGTTGTTCAGCTCCTTGACGAAGGCAAGGTAGCCGAAGACACGCAAGTAGCTGACTGCCGGCTTGCGCCCGTGCCAGGCCTCATACGACGTCTTGCCGTCGAGCTTACTGGTCGGAGAGCGGTTGAGCAGGTGTACGGCGGTCATCATGGCCTCTTCCCAGTAGACCGCTGGCATACCACGTTGCTTGAGGAGCGCGCGCGCCGCTGCCACCACCGTCTGATTGTGGCGCTCGACCACGCCGTCCTGCTGCGGTGAGTAGGGCATGGAGTAGTGGCGCTGAATCCCCTCGTCGGTGCAGTACGCCACGAACTCAGCTGCCGTGAATTCGCCACCGTTGTCCGTGCAGAGCACCCAGAGCTTGCGGCCGCACTCCTTTGCGGCTGCCTGGTGGCGCTTGATGGCGTCCGCAGCTGCCACCTTGGAATCAAGCAGCACGGCCCACATATAGCGGGTGGCGTCGTCGACGAGTAGTAGGAAGTAGTGCCGATCTCCAGGAGTGGTCGGTGATACTGGACCGCAGAGGTCGCTGTGCACTAGCTCGAGCTACTCGGTAGCGTAGTAGGAGGCTTGACGCGGGGAAGGCCCGGTGCTTCAGCTTGGTCAACACATAGGTGTCACCTTCTTGCCGAATTGCTTCAGGGCTTCGAAGTGAAGGTACCCGAAGCGCTTGTGCCAGCGCCATGCCTTATCATCCCAGCGCGCGGCATGGCAGAGGGGGTGTGCCACCTGTCCATGGAGCACATAAAAGGCAGTTGCTTCCCCGTTCACCTTGACAAGAAAACGGTGGCCTCTATCCTAGATGCGCAGCACGCCGTCCTCAATCTCCACCCACGAGCCGTTCTCGTCCAGCTGCCCGACGCTAATGATGGGGTTCTTCAAGACCGGGATGTAGTACACCCCGGTGAGAAGACGGTGCTCCCTTGTCTTCGCCTTGAAGATGACCGAGCCGACGCCCTTGATCTCGACGGCGGAGGTGTCACCGAACTTGACGGATCCCTTCACGCCGAAGTCTAGGTCAGAGAAGAACTCACGCGTGACCAGTCATGTGGTGCGTCGCACCGGTATTGAGGTACCAGCCGTCGATCTTGTCATCGGCGGCACCTTTGCCGAGGAAGGCGTGGGCGTGCGGTTCGTCGAGGTAGAGCTCGGCGGAGCCAGCCAACCTGGAAAGGGGAAAGCTTGGACCTTTGACCCCCTCCCCTGTGTCTTGCTGTAGCTCAACGCACCCGTGCGCCAGGGACAAGGTGGCATCCTGCTCCTCTGCTTACGCGGCATGAGCCTGCCCACCGTGGCATGGAGGAAGGCGACAGTCCTTGGCCCAATGGCCAGTCCTGCCACAGTTGTTGCAGGTGTCATCCCGGGGTCGCCTTGCACTCGCTGGCGGCGCCGCCATCAGCGCCGACCTGGCCCCAAGGTCCCTTCTCCTCCTTCTTGCCGCCACGTGGACGCCGGCGACGCTCCTTGGAGCCGGACGAACCGGATCCTTCCTCCTTCTTGTCAAAGACGCGCCACTACTCCATCATGTACAGCAGCTTGCCTCCGACGGCGCCCTACTCAGAGTTCGGCGCCTGCTCGCGATCTTGCACTGCCTTGAGCCTTTCGGTGGCATCCTCGACAGTGGGCTGCTCAAAGTCGAGGAGCGTCTCGATCCAATTGACGATCTGCGCATACCTCTTTGGCATACAGCGGAGGAATTTCTCCACCGCGTGCTCCTCCGTGAGGTCGGTGTCGCCGTTGCGCGCCATCTGGTCCATCAGATTGGTAAGACGGAGGGCAAAGTCCTCGACTTGCTCACCAAGCTGAAAGGCGAGGCCTTCCCACTCCCCTCGGAGGCGCTGCAACGTTGCCCGGCGCACACGATCTCCGCCGATGCGTCCCGCGGCGATCGATTCCCACGCCAGCTTTGTCGTAGCCTTGTTGGCGAGGGAGGCACCGAGCTCGGTGGGGACGGCGGCGCACAACGCCTCTAGTGCCCGGCGATCGTTGTCATAGTCGACGCCGCCAATGTGAACCGCCTCCCACAACCGCCCGACCTGCAGCTTGAACTTCATCAGCAGGCTCCACTCATGGTAGTTCGACTTGGTGAGCATCGGCCACGACGTTCCCGCTTCGGAGTCACGGTAGACCGTCTGCAGCACTGGGGAGCGACTGTGCTGACCATGACGCCGCTCTGGTGACGGCGACTGGTGGCGGCACCCGACCGGGCTATGCGATCCTCCAGCTGGCTCCGGCTCCCGCTCCATCTCGACGCGCAGCGCTGCGGCCGCGGCTACCGCAGCCTGGGCCGCAGCCGTCGCCTGCCTGGCCATCTCAGCCGCCGCCGCAGCCGCTGCCTCTACGGCAGCCAGGCGCATCACGCGATCATCGGCTCTGGCACCCGCGGCGGTGCACACTCTCGCGATCTAACTGGCGGTGGACATGGCACTCGCTCACTCAAGAACCCTCTCGGCTCTGATATCAGATTGTTGGCCTGATTGGATCTCAGATTCAGATCTAAAACTACCAAAGGGCAGCTTGGCGCTTGGCCGCTTGGATTGAATGAAAATGCAATGGCTTATTTTTTTACAATGACACTTCCTTGCTTTTTATAGGTAAAGGGACTCCTACTTGCTACAGCATATTCTAACCACTAAAGTGAATGCTGAGCATATTCCTAACACTAGGCTTGAAAACCAAAGAAAATAAAAGTGCAGGAAAAGTAAGATACAAGTACTTTAGCACTAGGCTTATCTATCAAGTTGTGTCTTGAAGCTTTCAATTATAACCCATGTATCCAGACTATTAGGCACATGAAACCGTAGACTAGACCAACAAGCCAGAGAAAAGGGGCACTAAAACAGAAGGTGAGCAAGATCTTCCTCAACATTCAGGTTACAGAGGACACAATTATAATCAGGTAAGTGCATGTTGCGCCAGCGAAGCATAGCCCTGGTACTTAATCAATCTTGAAGCACAGCCAGAAGAAAAACTTCCTCTTATTCTGATAGGATGACTGCCATAGCCATTTAAAAGATTTATGAACCTGTCGGTGGCCAATGAGATGTTTATATGCTCTATTGGAGGAAAACAAAGAAGATCCCCATATATAGCTCCATTGATCATAAGTGACTTGTAAATCCAAATTCTGGATAGTATTGGTGAGAACCAAGTATTGGTCATAAGCTTCAGCCTTCAGGTGAAAGTGGCAGATGAAAGAGATCATGCAGAAGAGGAGTGATGGCAGCCACTGAAATGAATTGATTCTTTGCAAAGGAAAACAACTCTGGGAAAGTGAAATGAATTGATTCTTTGCAAAGGAAAACAACTCTGGAAAAGTCTGATTGTAGACCATGCCATTCCACAAGTCATGCCAAAGGAAGCAAGATTTGCCATCCTGAATAGAAACTACTGCAATACCCTTGAACTATTTTAAAAGTTTAAAAATGTCTTTCCACCAGAAGGATACTCAGAAATTTGCCCCCTGCATTGGTAATTTGTCTCTTGTGTGGTATTTATCCCAAACTAATTGCACCCAAGGAACTTGAACTCTGTTATAGAACTTATGCAGATGTTTCAGCAGTAAGCTTTCATTCTGAACAGTTAGGTTGAGAACACC